CCCCCGCCAGGAGCGAGAACACAGACTTTTAGTTTTAACTGTCCCACGATGTCTTCTCTGGTGTCTCTTGCGTGTATTTTCATTTACCGCTGTGTTGCCCCGTGCTTTACCAGAAGGAGAAAAAAGAGAAGAAATCTAAACGCCATGACAAATCTCGGAGGAGAAAGATTCAGACGGATGAAAGTGAGCAGTCGGAGGATGATGGTGATTCCCCGAAACCCAAGAAATCCAGGAGCGAAGTTAAACAAAATGGTGATATGGGAGAAGAAAGCCCGGAGAACGGGAGGTTATCTTCCTTAAGCAATAAATCCACCCACAAAAAGCGACAGAGGAATTCTAGTGAAACGTCAAGCGGTGACAGTGAGCAAGAGCAGGTAAAACTAATGGTTGATTTAATCATAATTAGGTGTTTAGCTTTCACTCCTGCGCTGCAACAAGTTTACATTTAGAACAGGTTATCTTTCTTTCTTTCCCTCCTCGTCAGTGGAAAAATTGCTGTAATTTTTCAGGGTTTAAAGCTACTTGAACTATCCCTTCTGTCTATTATTTGCAAAAATTTAAAATTATGAAATTCCTGAAGTTCTAGATCAGCACACCACGGTTTCCTCACTTCAACAGTTCGGTACTGTGGTAGCTGTTGGCAGACAGACAAGCTGCAGTGAGATAGCGCTTTAATATGATTCAGCACCATTAGATATGATTATAATTGCCACAGATATAGTTTAATTGACTTCTTTTTGGTATCATGAGTACTTCTCTAGTGAAATAGGAATTATTTGGTTTTAGCGAGTGGAAAGAGAAAAGTTATGTATTAACATGTTGTTATGTATCATCTTATTAAATAGTAGTTGTTAACGTGACAAGATGATCCTTAATGTAAGAAAATATCGTGTTATAATTGTTTTGCAATTATTTTTAAGCCTTTCTGTAAGAATGTTTTTGTTTTGTCTGACAATTTCTATTTCGTGTAGGCTCCTTTAAAATTACTTGACATGAACCACATTTTTTTGAAGGGAAATATATCTTATTGTACCTAGGATTTGTTTTGAAAAGTCTTTATACCTGTATGTTCTGCTGTTATTCTATTTCATGTAGGTTCCTTTAAAATTACTTGACCTGAACCACATTTTTTTTGAAGGGAAATATATCTTATTGTACCTAGGATTTGTTTTGAAAAGTCTTTATACCTGTATGTTCTGCTGTTACTTAGTTTTGTTTCATGTTCCAATTGATGCATCACAAATCATCCAGGGTTTCCCTGATTTCCAGGGTTAGCATTCATTCCTTGTGCTTAACATTTTAATCGCTCTTCTGTTAAAACGTATATGAAAGTGATGTGTTACTCCGTAGGGTGCATTTGATGCTCTACCTCATAAAGTTATTCTGTCGGGGATCAACTTCTGTGTCTGTAAATCACTGTGGTGTATTAATTGGGAAGTAGGAAATAAGCTAGATATCAAACCTGAATCTTGCATATTGCAACATTATCTGTTAGGCCTTTGGTAATTATTTAAAATAGAATGTTAAAATTTATTTAAGAGTTTTCAGTTTTAATTTAGTCTTAAATTACAGATCACTTTTGTCTAACTTTGAAATATGATAGTAAGTAAACCAAAGAAGTCTCTTTAGCTGCAGCTGTGATACTGTCACTGAAAATTTGACCCTTGGGTATGATACCAGTGCCTATGCCATTACCTTGAATTTTCTGATGGTCATATGATATTCATACAGAATGTTATCTGATTTATTGTTTACCTAACAGGAGATGACTGGAGAACAGAAAGAGGGTGCTTTCTCCAATTTTTCTATTTCCAAAGGGACTGTTCAGCTTCTTCAAGGTAAGTTTCTTGGTGTGATGTGACCACAGAAAGTAAATGATCTCTCTCACGTGTTTTTATGCTCAAAGTATTCAGTCATTGAGCTTTGAGATGTGCTTTGCTTGTGCGTATGCAGGCAGAGGTGCTATAGAGAAGGCATATTGATTCCCTACTCTAAATGCATCTTTGAACAGACACTTTTCTGTTTGCAGTATTGCGCAGTTCAGCCTTTACAGTAGAATTTTAAATGACATAAGCTCAAAAAAAAATTCTGTGCGAGAATTTTTCAGTTAAAAATTATTTCAGCGTGAGTAAAGGAAACCCAGTTATATTTAGTATTTTTGGCATTAGTTTATGCATGACTTAGTATGAATTAAGAGAAGAATAGAAGCGGTTTTGACATATGTTTTATTTGAAAGGAAGAGGTTTTCATGGATAGGTGGGAAGTATTGCAGAAGTAAAGGCACAGTACTTAAAGGCTTTCATTAAAGGTTAGTAACGTCATCTGCCCCACCTAGCGCTGTGCCTGGTGGTATGAAGTGGGAGAGTAAAATAGACAGTCCCAGGGCACTCTTTACAGATGACCTCTGTGATTAAATAAGGTGATAATATAGTCCTGAGTTACTTTAGAGTTGATGGAAGTTCTGCTTGGGCTAACTTTGTCTGAAGAGTATGAAAGAACACTTGTAAAATGATCGTATTAAGGAAGTCTGTTGAAATTGTCACAGCTCGAGGAGTGACGTACCTGTTTCCTGTGCAAGTGAAGACCTTCGACCCAGTATACTCTGGCAAAGATGTCATTGCTCAAGCACGAACTGGAACAGGGAAAACATTCTCTTTTGCTATTCCCTTAATTGAAAAGCTTCAGGGAGACTCACAGGAAAGAAGAAGAGGTCGTTCACCAAAGGTAACTGTGCTTAGTTAGAATGCTGATTTTGCTTTGTCTTAAGTCCGAGTGATTCAGATTTTTAACCTGCTGGAAAAGTTCTTCAAGTTTGTGCAGCTATAAGCTAACTCACATCGAAGATTCTTTGAAAGTTGTGTTTGTTGGGCTTTGCCTGCATCCTGTGCTGATCAAGAGTAAAGAGCAAAATAGCTCTATCCACTTGTCAATTGCTTTTTCTGCTTACAGGGAGACCAAAACTACCGGTATTCAACATGTTCCTGTTTAATTTTGTTCAGTCACCTTACCTGTTCAGGTCCAGTGGTTACTGGATGCTTATTTTTCTCCCAAATTAGTAACAGATTAGTGACTTTTTCTGATTGATAAAAGCTGTATACTTAAACATGTTTGTTTAAACATGTAAATAGTCGGAGGTTTTAAAAATAGCCTTAGTTTTCACTAGGACCACCACCAGATATTGAAGTTTCTGCTCCAGAGAATGCAGATTTGTTATGAGCTGTCTGCATTCTGCTGGGGAATACCATGTATGTCTTTTCACCAAAGTCTTATGATGTCCTCCTAAACTAGATAGGCCAAAGCGTCCCCATTAATAGTGGACTTTTTTTTTGGTAAGTTTATTTCGTCTTGTCACCCATCTCATAGATTACCTGAAACTCATTCCAAAACTAGTACTAGCTGTTTTATTTGCATCTGCCCATCATGTTGGCTGTCTGACTGAGAATGCTAGCTCTAGATTTGGCACAGTCTGGTGGAGAAGGGAAAGCTTTCTTTGAGAGAGTCACCAGTCTTAAAATAAAAAAGATTTCAGGCTTCACTCTACCATAGTACACTACTATTTTCTTTTTTGTAATGTGTTTCAATGTTGAAAGAAGTAGTAGGATAAGGATTTTAAGGTTCCTTTTGTCAAGCCACTAATGGCAGGTTTGAGAGCAGTACTGCAATCACACGTTAAACGAAATTAGTTAAAACTCCTAGCTAGTAGCTTGGCCGTCATATGCAGTGAAGCCTCTTTATTGGACGAGAGGATGGTTCCTCGGTTGCTTCTGCAGGGATATCAGCACAGGCTCCATAATCATGCTGAACACCAGCTTTGCAGACTGAACATATGTTTTCCTGAGTCGCAAGGAAGCTGAGAGACAGTTGATAGCTCTTTCTTACACCTTCTTGCCAACTGTGAGGCATTACCGAGCATGTGTAAAAACCTTTTATTACCCAAATCCTTCAGTCTTGTACTCAAACAGCATATGCGCATGTAGAAGAAAACTTGTAGCTGATCTGTTCAAGAGCTAAAGTTAAATAAGATTTAAGTACCTCCTGTCTATCTCATTTAAAAAGAAGTTAGCCTGTCCTAAATGAGTATGTGCTGAAGGAGATTAATGATGCTACAAGAGACTTAAGCAGTGTGTTTCTCTAATCTTTGCTTAGATAACTATTTAAACCAGATTTTTTTTTTTAAAATTATGTAAATGGTCAGGCCTAAACCAATGATTAGAAGTCTAGTGGTTTCTTGGCGGAAGCCATGCTGAGAGAACATCTGTTTCTCTTTCTTCTGTCTAGGTACTAGTTCTTTGTCCAACAAGAGAGCTCGCAAACCAGGTTGCCAAAGATTTCAAGGACATCACGAGAAAGCTAACAGTAGCTTGTTTTTATGGAGGAACTCCATACAATGGACAAAGTAAGTGACACTTATCACTAATAATTGAAATGTCCGTTGGCTGACATATTTGAGAAATGCAGTTGAGTCCTTCCAAACACACACTTTTAACTCAAGAACTGGAGGGTATTCATGGGGAATTCAGTAGTTCAGAATGTATCTTTTTATGGTGAGAAATAACCGTAGCTCTCAATTATATTGTTGGTGTTCCTTGTCTACCCATGTACTTTAAATTAAAGTGAAAGAGATTATACTGTGTGTATACAGAGTATTTGGGTTTAGTTTCTTGTAAACATTTATATTTTCTTTGAAAAATGTTCAATCTTAGAGCTGTGAGTGGGTGTGGGTTATAAAGGTTTTTTTAAGTTTCCAATTAAGGTAGACAATTGGCAAGAGCCATTTCCAAAGTCTGTTAAAAGAAGCTCTTTGTTTCCCACTTCATTTAAATCATGGGGAGAGGGAAGGGAGATGGGAAATCTTTTCCTTCAGGAAAAGCAGTATAACTTCTACTTTCCCAGTTTTGTTTTTTTTTTCCCCAAGTTTTCTCCTCCTGTTCATCATTTGTTCTCACTTACATTTGTAAGGAGAGTACTTACGAATGGTTTAAGAAGCGGTTTTGTTATTACTTAGCTACTATGTGTTTCTAATGTAGAGAAACTACCTAGTTCACTTCTAACTCCTCTTCTGCTCTTTCCTGTTTATCAGTTGATCTCATGAGAAGTGGCATTGATATTTTGGTTGGGACACCTGGTCGAATCAAAGACCATCTTCAGAGTGGCAAGCTGGACCTTACCAAGGTGAAACATGTTGTACTTGATGAAGTTGACCAGATGCTGGACATGGGATTTGCTGAGCAAGTAGAAGACATTTTACGAGTTGCATACAAGAAAGGTAATGTTGATATTTAAACGAATAGTAGGAAATATTAGTAACAATTTAGTCTGCTAAAATTCAGGTGTATTTTTCTGAAAGTTGCAAGGTGGCTTTGTTTAGAAATGACTGAATACTATATATTGTAGGAAATGTACTGTGAATGCAGTGTATGAGGAAGTGCTGTGAAAATGGGACTCATTCATAGGACCTTGGCAAAGTTTAAAATCTGGTACCTAGGGGTGTGTAAATAAATTTCTTTGACACCTATCTATAGGTTCTACTTGGACTTCTTCTAGTTAAAAGGAATTAGAAGCTTTTTACCCTTTTCACCACTTGAAAATAGATTGGACTTTTGGTCATAGTAACTTTTTTCCTAATCTTGAAAATATTTAGACTTTCTAGAGTATTTTTTCTCCAGGTGTTGGTAATGCATGAATTTAAAAAGCAAAACTGCCTTTTTTATTTTATATGCTCATATTTGACCTCATATTTTTAGTAACCCATATAATCAACTTTGTATACATCTGTAAGATGAAACATACGAAGTTAGTGAAACATTGTTCTGTGTTTTAAGATTCTGAAGACAATCCCCAGACGCTACTGTTTTCTGCAACTTGCCCTCATTGGGTGTATGATGTGGCTAAGAAATACATGAAGTCTAAATATGAACAGATTGACCTTATTGGGAAAAGAACTCAAAAGGCTGCTACAACAGTAGAAGTGAGTAATCTATTTATTGTGGAATGTTTTCAGGCCTTGTCCCTTTCCCTCTGTGCTACAATGGTCATCCCATCCTAAGGTATATTATCAGAAGGATGTTGAAAGTTGTTTTGAGAATTGGTTTTTTTTAAGCATAAGGCATATTACAGCTAGTCAAACTGTTCCTAGGTTTAGGACCTGTCTCTCTTCCCACAACATCCAGTAACCATATAGACATCTCAGGTAGAGTGAGGATTCAATTACCAGTTAGTTTTGTTGGTTTTCAGAGAAGAGTGGTATCTGAGTTTACCCAAGTTGGAAGCGGAAGGCACACATTAACATCAACCTGACTCTTTTAAATCACCACAGACATCACAGTCAAATTCTGCTATTCTGTATACAGGAGATTTTTTTCAAACGGCATGTGGTGTCTCAGCTCACTAGGCCTTTGCTTGCTATGGTATTTACTGCACAGCAAGGAGTACAATACATATATGCTAGAAGCCTGAATTAATTATCTTCACTTGAAAAGATATTGTTTCTGCTTAAGTACAGTTTACTGGTTACTTTGACAGATCAGTTGGGACACATCATAATTGTATCAGTGGGATTGAAAGAATGTTAATCTTGTGCTTGAAAAAAGCTTGTAACACACCGTATTTACTTGTTTCCCTTTATCTGACCTAAAGCTTTAGTTGATAGAATTGTGAAAAAATCTTGCACCGCTGACTGTCCTCTAGGGAAAAGATATAACATCTCCTGTGTTTTTTTTTCCTTGCTTTAAAAAAGTGATTTGTAGACTGTAATATTTTTTCCCTCTTAGTGTAATTATTTCACTTAATGTTAGAATAATTATGGTGGACCTAAGAGCCTTATGGATTTCGGACGTTCCAGGAATGGGAGTTAGCATATTTTGCCCATCAGGAAACTGTATAACCCCTTAATATTTCAGGATTTTACACTTTCAAATGTATTAAAAAAGAATCTTGTCTTTTTCTGTAAGCTAAATACTGAAATTCTTTTCCATAGCATTTGGCAATAGAGTGTCACTGGTCTCAGAGAGCTGCTGTTATTGGAGATGTCATTCAGGTCTACAGTGGCAGCCACGGGAGGACCATTGTCTTTTGTGAGACCAAAAAGGAGGCAAATGAACTGGCTCTGAACGCTTCAATCAAACAGGTATTTTATTATCTGTATTAAGTAACAAAACCTGTCAGAGATGTATCAACCCTATGTTGATAGCCGACCTGTGCTGAGTAACTTCCAAAGAGAGACTTTCAAAGCGGATAAGGCAGGCTTTTGCAGGTGGTCAGATAATTTCAAAACTGCTCCAAAAGAACCTTAAAAAACCTCAAACCCAAACTGTTTGAAAGTTTACAGCATTATTGTCTTCAGAACTAGGCTGCACTAGCAGATGCTGGACTATAAAGGGTTCTTTTCTTGAAAGAAGAATTCTCATTGACATTAAATGAAGCTATCATGAATTATTTTTTCTGTAGAGAGGACTGTCTTGGATTAAAAAAAGGCTTAGACAACTATTAGGATAACTGGTTGTGGTACTGGAATAGCAGTTACTGAGATGTGATGTTGACATTAATTAGTGTTGTCGGAGAGGGGGGACAGTTAGGGTTTAGAGCTGTAATGTAATGGAGGCTATATTTGTATTTTCATTAAGATGTTTATTAGCTGATATGAAGCATTTGAAGATGTATACACAGAAAGAATTCAATCTGCCATCTCTTGTGAATGACCTCTGGTGTATTCCTGAGACTTGTGGTATGGCACACACTAGCACTGGTGGATAGGTAACTCGTCGATGTAGTGGTGCAATGTTTATGGCGTGTAGTGACGCTGGCATTGCATGCTTGGTTTTGGTGGTGGTATCACAGCAACTATTTTTTCTGTATGTGTTTTCATTGAGGAGATGGGTGAAGTTATGTCTAGAAAGCATTATAGCATTATGTTCCTAGGGAAAGGAGAAGCTTTTTCATCTGTCACAACTGTGTTCAGGAGTGTTTCTTACACACTCCTAGATGACCTCAGTGACAGCTGAGCATGAAGCCTTATCCTACATTACTGGTGGTGTTAGTGATACCAAATCTTGCATAGGCAAAGCAGAACTCTGATCTTGGTAGGTTTGAGAAGGAAATAACTTAGATGTTTCTGTTCTAGCATATTAATACTTGCTAACAGAATATATTATTAATACTTGCTAACAGAATATATGCCTATTCCATTTACCAGCTGACATCAATTCAAAACTGTCTGAAAAAGAGTTTTTGAATTCTATGCTGACCATAGCAACGTGTTAGTATTTTTTCAATTCATTCTCTGTTACATGTGGAAAATATCGTAGCCATCCACAGGCAAGCTGTGAAATGTGAAGTGGAGGAAAAATAATTTTTGTATATGTGGTCTTCATACTTGTTACTGCTGTGATACAGAAGGACTTTCAGAAAGTTTGGATTAAACCAAAATTATCTTTGAAGCTGTAGTTAGTTGTTTGGTTTTTTTTAGGATCACTTGTATTTTAATCCTTTATTTGTAGTGGAGAAATTAATATATTAAGGGGGATTTAGAAGAAACACTATTTTGGAAAAGATGTCTAAGTAAATACTAAGAAGGCCTGAGAAAATTGTCGATGGCTATTTTGAAATACTTGCATAGATGGTGCGGGTGGCAAGTTAGGGTATAGTTGTTTTCATAGGACACAGTAATTAAGAGTTGGAGATAAGACATATGTTGCAATTCTGTTTCCCTACCTTTGTTAAAGGTCTTTGAGGTACGTGAATAAGAAGCACTGAGTAAATATTGTAAGACACCTAAAATATAAACTCTGGTAATTCAGTTGTTGTGTTATCTTGCCATACGGTATCTATCAAATACCAAGATACTGTACCCAAAACTGACCATAAAATGGAGCATCATTGTAGGTTTTGGTACAGTCTTATAATAATACTGTTTTTCAGGATTGCCAGTCGTTGCATGGTGACATTCCTCAGAAGCAAAGAGAGATCACACTGAAGGGTTTTAGAAATGGTACATTTAAAGTTCTGGTTGCAACCAACGTAGCTGCCCGTGGTTTAGACATCCCTGAAGTTGACTTGGTTGTACAAGGTTCACCACCAAAGGTAGGAGATGGTTGGGCTGGGTGTCTTGTAATAATTCGTAGTCTTGTTCGGGTGTCTTGTAATAATTTGTAGTCTTGTTCTCAAGTAGTATATGCTATCAGGTGATGGTGTTCACCACACAGACTTTATCAGCATTGCATTTAAGGATAAGAAATGTCCTGACATATAGAAGTAGTTTCTTAGAGGATTTTTTCAGAGTGCCTCAGTCCCTAATATGTTAAAGATGGTCCCTTTAAAATGCCTTCTTTTAAGGCTGTTCAAAGCCTCTCCCTTCAAGGCCATGTATGGTGATTGCAAGTCTGGAAGCAGCGGGAAGGAAAGAAAGGCTGTTTGTCTTGCAAGAACGATTCACTAAGTAGGGGCATATATGAGGAGGGGACCCCAACAGAGAGAACATTAGCTTAAGTTCATAAGAACATAAGTTAAGGGGACTTAGAAGAAACAAGATACTTTTTCAGTGAATTTGGTATTAATGTCTCAGTAACCATGCTCAAATTGATGTGCAGGAGGGTGAGTGGGATTGTTATAGAGGTATACACGCTCAAAATGTTTTCTCGTATTCTCTGTGGTGATGCCAGAACAAGACTTAGTTGATCCATGCTTATGGTTCTGGCTTTCAAACTGTGATTTTTAGAGGGTTGTGGAAAAGCTTACTCTTTTGACTTTAGTGAAACAATGTTTTTTCATGTAATTGTCTGATGCAGTTATTGTGTATTGTTCAGGCTTAACTATAATAGCTTCTACTAAGTTATGTGAATGCAATGAATTGATTAAATTACAATAAATCAGATAAGTCATAAGGCTATTTATTTTGAAGGATGTGGAGTCCTATATCCATCGTTCTGGACGCACAGGTCGAGCTGGACGGACTGGGATCTGTATCTGTTTTTATCAGCGAAAGGAAGAACATCAGTTAAGATATGTGGAGCAAAAAGCGGTAAAGTATAGTAGTATTCTAATCACGAGCACTCAAATGTAATGCGTTAGGGCAGCGTGTAAAATCTTCGTGTTTTGTTCAGTTACAGAATATAGCTTATGTAGCACCCAGTTGAGGTTCATTTACCTTGCAGAGTTTGGGTACGCTCTCAGTTACTGTGGAGCAGGGAACACGCTGCAGATTCTCATGCCCACGCTTCTTCAGCAAATGTCAATAAGATTGTACCTGTGGAGATGAGAAAAACCAGCAGGATTTCAGTTTAGTGTTCACCCTGGCTTATCATCTGATCAGGGGTTTGCGTATGTGTACCTTTACTGAGAACTGTTACTTCCATTTTTGCACTTTGAGCACTGTTCCATATGGTAGTTTTCTCACCAATCAAGTATTCAGTTGGGATGAAATGGTTTAGTCTGGGCACATAAAACTCAGACTTACAGTTAGAAAGGCTGTGTAACTTCTACTTAAATCCAAGTAAATCAGACTAAAATTAGTAATTTAGAATTTGCATGGCTTTTTTCCCCTGGAATCTGCCAAAATGATCTCTGTTTATTTCAGTTTAAGGTCACTGGATCATTAAAACTGACCTGGTACTTAGAAGACTTTTAAGTGTTACCCATTTTCCTGTAAGCTTCACCTTGTAATTTTCACTAGCAGAAGTTGGGAGTTAAAAGGTGAAAAGAAGAAGAAAAATTATAGATTTAAATGCTTGTTTCGTTGGAGTCCAATACTGTTTCTTTAGATCTGAATTATTTATGGTCTGCAGCTTTCATCTGTATTTTGCTTTTTAAATTTCAGGGCATTACATTCAAGCGTGTTGGTGTTCCTACTGCAACAGATATAATAAAGGCTTCCAGCAAAGATGCCATCAGGTGTGTTCAGTGATACAACAAGCCCTGTTGTATCTTCCTATCTTCCTAGTTTAGAAGGGTTGTTTGGTTTGTTCTCTGCTCTCTCTCTGAACTCTCTGAACTCATCACTCTTAAAGTCTTACACTGCTGTTTTTCTTCTATTCCAGAGCCTAGTAAACACTAATGTATACTTTTTTTTTTTCTTTAATTACTTAGGTGTCTGGATTCTGTTCCTCAAACTGCTATTGAGTATTTCAAAGAATCTGCTCGGTTCCTAATACAAGACAAGGGACCAGTTAATGCTCTGGCTGCAGCTCTAGCCCATATTTCAGGTGCTACTTCCATTGAACAGCGCAAAAAGGATGCGGTAAGGGCGTATGGCTTAACGGTTGTCTTCAATCTGAAAAAAACCCACACACATCTGTGTTCTTTCATTAGGGAGTTATTTGTCTCCTTATGATTTTGTTTATGGGAACTGTACTTCACCCGCTAGGAACTACTAATTTAGTTAAGGGCAAGAATATAGTGGCTATAAATATACTTGCTCTCCTGTAACAGTATCCACTTGAAAACTTTGTTTATAAATTGTAAATTAGCAGTTTCTCATGTCTGATAGATGTACTGAAGCTTGTTCCTCTGACGGAATGGAGCATGCTGTGTTTCTTACTCCTTAGGGATTTGTTACAATGATACTACACTGCTCTGAAGAAATAAACAATATGAGCTATGCTTGGCGAAGACTGCGGGAACTGTTGGGTGATGATGTTGACAGGAAGGTGAACAGAATGTGTTTCCTCAAGGGAAGAATGGTAAGCTTTTTTTGTGTCTCTGTTAATGAGATCTTCTCATTGTAGCTTTTTCTCAGCAGTGTCAGGGGAGATAATTTGGTCTTTTTCCCTGTTCCAGGCTCTGCTGGTAAGGACATGACTGGTAGAAGGATAGGCCTCAATCTATTGTATTAGGGCTTAGGCATCTCAGGGACTTAGGGCTCTGCTCCGCTGAGATGCTGAGGTAGTAGTATAATGCGATATACAGCATGCCGATAGGGATAACAGAACAGGTGAAAGGTACGAACCGTGCTAACTCTGCCTTGATGACAAAACATAGAACAGGATTTGTTAAGACAGTTGGTTCTGATAGTGCATGTCCATAGTATTTCTGGTACCTGAAAACTGCCAGATCAGAAAGTTACTGTTTGGCTTGCGTGCTTGACAATGTTGCAACAACAGTAGCAAAGCTCACCGAGAGACAGTTAAGCAAAAGTGATTCCCCTCACTCTTCTTGTCTCAGAATTTGCGTGCATTTTTCACAAACACGAAAATGTGTGATCAAATAGTGTGTCCAGGATTATTTGTGGTGACACAGAGGACAAGGAATGCTTATATCCTGCTTTTGCGAGTTGTTAGGCATTATTGCTGATTTGCTCCATCTTTGTGTTTTTCTGGGCCTATTTCTTGTTTCTCAACATAGCCTCATCAATCAAACGGAACAGAGAGATGCAGTGATCTTGATGACTTAATTTGTATGCTGTCAACACATACCATTCTCTTTTCCCTTCCTCTGCTGTTATTTTTCTGGTGCTTTCACACGCCTACATTTCCGTCCATACTTCATTTATATCCCTGTTGAAGTTTCCATCACAGACACCATATACCACATGTTGTTACAGAGAATGATTCGGTTTGTGTTTCCCTGTTTTTATGTGGTTTAAGGTGGTGTGGGATGGGGATAACAACAGACAAACTAAAAAGACCCCAATACTGTTTGAAGATGAGTCGGGAGGACACTTCAGAGGCAGATGTTGAATGGAATTTTATCTAGAGATTTGTAATAGAAGCATTAAGATTGGTATGAGTGCAGGTGGAATGGATGCCTTTTGGAAGTACCAAAAAGAGAGAGATTTAAAAATAGCAGCTGTTGATGGCACCTAGTTTAGCAAGTCATCAAAATCACGGCACATCTATATGCCAATACTGAGGTTATTTGGTAAACTAGAAAGCCTAAAACAAGGGACAGCCTACACTTGAACAACAGTTTAAAGATTTTTTTTTTTTTTTCAATAAAAGCAAATGTTGTCTCAGGTGCTGTGTGTGTTCTATTCTGCCTTTGTGTAAAAGTTAACCTAAGTGTCTTGCTGCATAAATTTCGCACATAGTTCACAAGGTTTCTTGGCCAGACACTTCTCATTCTTAATTTGACTTGAGGATACTTCTTTATGATAGTGAACTATTTTTACTGTTTCCATCTCTGGAATATTTTCTTAATGCATCCTTCACACATGATACTTGATATTGTATTAATTGGTAAGATTTGTTTTATTGTCCTTGCCTCTGTCTCTCTAGTCACAGCATTGTTCTGTATTTGATATGTGGAAGACTATCTATGAATGGTTTTCGTTGTATCAGATTTGTAATTATCTATATCCAGAGTGCTCATTCGGTCAAAGAATATGTATTGTATTTAATCATTCAAGTAGTTTAACTTCAGATGTTTAGTCTGAACCTAAATGTGCAGTTTACTGGGTGTACACATTTCTTAGTATAGGTTCAAACTTCTGATTTGAAAGAATTTACAAAATGAGTAATGCAGAAGCCAACAGACCACAGTTTCGGATAGAGAGGGTTATAAGCTTATTGTTAAAGAGCAAGAAAATGTGAATTGGAAGTACTGGAGTACTGGCTATGCAGAGGAAAGAAAAATGTGTCTATCTGAGGAAAACATTAAGGAAGTGTAGGTGTTTTGAGAAATACTGATGCAACTCCCAGTGTTCAAAGCTTTTAAAGTATCTTAAGTCTTGATTAAAAAAAGCCACTTCGAAATGTAAAACTGTTTGTTCTAGTACATAGATTTGTAGGCTCTTTTTTTTTTTTTTTTTAGTTGCAGTCAATTAAAAGGCGAGACTTGTATCCATTAAAATTATTCTTTCTTTTTAGGGTGTGTGCTTTGATATTCCTGCAGCGGACCAAAAGGAGATAGAGGTACATTCATGGAGATTTCTGATTACAACAGACTGTAGATTAAACTGGCTGGACTGGGTTAGGCAGAAAACATTATGTAGCCTGTATCCTGCCTTTCCTAGTGGCAAAAGGGATGGCCTTGGAGGAATTGAAGAACAGGACAAGCATACAGTGTTCCTTTCCTAAAGCATTCCCCGGTCTCCAAAAATCTGTAGCTTGAGGCTTTTGCACTGAGTGGTGGTGTGAACAATCCACCCTTTGTTACTGCTGCTGGATTAATCTTTGTAGGCAATGAGTTTTGTCACACTATAAAATCCCCCTTTTTCTATTCTCCGCCCCCCATACTTTTCACCCAGAATTCTCTCCACAGAAAAGCAAATTCCAGCATATTGCTTGGCAGAATTAGTATTCCCATGCCAAAAATTGCTAGACTTTCAGTCTTTCCTTCAGGTATTTCTCCCTTAGTGCATCTCTATACCCTCATGCCCTAGCATTCGTTCACTCTTTAACCTGTGTTTGGTTCTGAATTAGAGGGGAATTGAGAGGAGGGTGTGGATTTGTGATAAGTAATAATTGTAGTGATATTCTTAACAAATGAAAAAAGAGTTTACTGATGAGGCTGCTCTGTAAAGCTCTAAGGTGGGTTTCAGTTCTGTTCTATAGTACCTGAGGCATACTCAGACAGCTAGCTGTAGCCCTTACGCTTAAAACTTTGAAACCAGTGTTGACCACTTCAGTTAGAAACTTGAATCTCCTATATTAGCTCACAATTTTACCTTTTCAGTTGAGCAAATTTAATAATTATGAAATACCCTGTATTTGCATTCCTGGAATTTAACTTGCTATGTCTGACTTTATTTCAAAAGGCAAGATGGGAAGATTCAAAACAATGGCGTTTGTGCGTGGCGACTGAATTACCTGAATTAGTAGAATCGCAGCGGGGAGGAGGAGGCGGAGGAAATGGCCGAAGCTTCTCAAGCTTCAGGAACGGGCGACGGGGTGGCTCTGGTAGAAACAGATTCAGAAGCAGGGGCCAGAAACGAAGTTTTGACAGAGCATTTGATCGTTAACTTCAACAATCCAGACGTGGAAAAAATGGGACTGCAGTATTTTATATTACATTAAATTAGGCTGTTGCTATGTGTTTGTACCACTTGGAAAAAAAAATCTGTCATTCAGATTTTTTTTTTTTCTCAGTACTACTTTGGTCATAAGAAAAATCCTGTTCACTTTAAGAAACATAAGAAAAAGAAAACTTTTATTGTTTCCTTTCTTTCTCATATGCCCCTTTCACCTGTAAGACTTAAATCTTTATTCGCGTTGAAAACTGTAGCCTGACTCACTGTATAATATATAGATCTTAACTGCTGGTCAAAACTGTACATTTTCCAAAAAAAAATAAAATATTATTTTACAAGTTCATATTCTGTTAGAAGGTTTTAACAGTGTGTGCGTGTTGGGCAAAGGGAAGTAGCGTAGTTTTGAGTATACACACGTAGGGTTTTGGGTTTTTTTAATGACATGGGAGGCACCTACGTACATTATGACATGCGGGTAAGCATTGCTCTGCCAGCATCGGGCGTAGGGTGCCGCGATCTGGTTACCGGATTTTGAAGCGTGGCGGCAGGAGCCCCGTGAGGGGAGGAGGTGAACCGGCGCCGCG